GGGAAGAGAGAGAGAAAGAAAGAAAGAGTGGCAGAGAGATGAAGAGAGAAAGACAAACAAAGAGGAAGACAGAGAGAGGGAGAGAACGAGAGAGAGAGAGAAAGAGGTAGACAGAGAGAGAGAGAAAGAGGCAGACAGAGAGAGAGAAACAGAAAGAAAAAAGAGATAGAGAGATAAAGGGAGGGACAGAGGGAGGGGGAGAGAAGGAAAGAGGGAGGGAGAGAGAGAAATGGAGAGAGAGAGAGAAAGAGGGATGAAGAGACAGAGAAGGAGAAAGAAAAAGAGAGAGGCAGTGAGAGAGACAGAGAGTGAGAGACAGGTAGAGAGAGAAACAGAGAAGAGAGGCAGAGAGAGAAACAGAAACAGACAAATAGAGAGGAAAAACAGAAAGAAAGAAAAAAGAGGAGACAGAGAGAAAGAAAGAGAGAGAAAAAGAAAGAGACAGATAAAAAGAGTGGGAGAGGGAGAAAGGTGGAGAGAGAGATACAGAGAGGAAGACAGAGATGGAAAGAGAGCGAGAGAGGCAGACAGAGAAAGAGAGAGAGAGAGAGAGAGAGAGAGAGATGAAGAGAGGTCCTCATAATGACTGTGTTGTCAGTTATTTCCTAGTGCGGATATCAGGTCCTGAGAAGGGCAGCGATACAAGTACAGATAGACTGACTTACTGTAGTGGTGTTGAGTGAGTGTGTGTGTGTGTGTGTGTGTGTGTGTGTGTGTGTGTGTGGTGCTCAGTTCGCTGTGTGAACGAGAGAAAACACACCAAACCAGCTGCTCCCAGCTGTCACACTCACACACACACACACACACACACACACACTCACACACACACACACACACACACACACACACACACCACGCAGCACTAATTGCCATTTTAGACACACACACTTACGCAGGGGATCCTCATTTGCTGCGACACACTCCGCACTGCTGCCACACGGGGGGCTCGACTGCCTGGTTTAAATAATTACCCTCCCGCTGTTTAATCACAGTCACAGTCACAGTCAGGACTCCGAGCTGTCTTTAAGCGCTGATTACTGACCTCTCACAGCACCACACACACCGCTGAGCATCTCCGGCTCCGTCTCACACTCCATTTCTGCACTTCAGCCACTTTCACCAACTAAACAGACTCAGTTTAACAGTTTTTAAAACTTTCAAAATATTCTAATGAGGAAATATTTTAGAAACCCGGTTATCCCTTGTGTGGTGTTGATGTGTTTGTTACTCAGTGGTCTATTGACCCACCGCATTATTGGTGTTTTAAATCAATGCAGCCATAACAATTTATGTAAGAATACCAGATGTTTAAAATATCACAAGTGTCCAGTGTAGGGTTCTCCTTTAGCAGCTGTAGCCAGTCAGCAGCCTGTCCATGTTGTCCACCCTCACACACACACACACAGACACACACAGACACACACATACAAACATATACACAGACACACACACACACTAACAGCAGGCCATGTAGGAGGAGAACAGAGTGAAGGACACAGCACCTCCACACTTTTACTCCCCGCAGGTTCACCCAACACCACATGTGTAATATAAATGTGTGGGGGGTGAACAGAGTGAAGACACTGAAAATGGGTTATTTTATATGTTCTTCACAGAAAATTAACAAAGGCCAAGAATCTGAGGTTGAAATAATAATAAATCACATCATTTTTTCTTTTGGTAAACATTGAAAATGGGTCCCACAGACCTCAACACCACATAAGGGTTAATCTCAGAAATACAACTAAAGCCCAATTCAGATGGGATTGGTTTTATATGAGGAGGTGGGTAATGTAATTATTACTGGTGTTTCTTAGTGATTTTAGTCATTTATTAATTTAGAGAATGAGTCACGTCAGTTATTTTTACGGACTGAGCTCCCACGTCGGTGAAGATTCCGCCGCCTTTAAAACGTATAGCTTTTTCAATTATTTTTACGGCTGTAAAACGAGCCATAAAAATAACCTGAGGTAATCCTGTGCAAATTAACACAGTAAAAACGCTGCCAAATCCTGTGGAAACGGAGATTCTTAATCCTCTATTGCATGATGTTGCCTCAGGGCAACAAACTCATTTTCCTCACTTTACAATAACATTACATATATTTAAAGACAACAATAGGGTTAACAATAAAGGGAAGAGTCTGAGTGAGACAATAAAAAGCATGTACTTGGTCATATTATCTCTTAGTGAGCACTTTTAAACCTCATTTTTTACCATTCAGTATCAACTGTTATGAGAATTTGCAGAAATATGTTTGTTGCCTAGAAGCAACATTGTGCAACAGTGGAATAGATTTAGCCAGTCACAAGCCAGGTGAGTTCACCACTTCAGGGAAGACGGGTCTATATCATTTCTTCCCTCTGTCGCTCAGTGTTGCCTCAAGGCAACATACTCCAAAAGGAGCCCTGCACACCTATTTTTTTTTTTATGTTTTTGAATTTAATAATTCAGTCTGAAAAAATAAATCAAGGATCGTATTTTGCAAGAAAAGCGAATTTATTTTTTTTCACTCCGAACGTAGGCTGCATTTCTAGGCTGTATGCGAAGGATCCTTCACTTTAGAACGGCCTGCTATGATGTAGTGGCCGAGAAAAGCAGCCTAACTCGGCTGCAGCCTCGACTTTGGAACGCAGCTGTTGTTATGGCGATAAATTGTCACAATAGGTCACGATATGAGCTTCCAGTGGACATCGTACTTTTAGACACTGACTCACGGCATATTTAATTACAGTGAGTTTAGCTGGATTTGAGGCAACGGTATATGAAAAATCATTTGTACTCAAAAATTTTAATAGTCCTTTGGAGATTTGATGCTACCTGATCCAATATGTGATGTATTATGAACATTTCTTGAAGTATCGTGATATTTTATTTCCGCCATATTGCCCACCTCCATATTGTCCTCGCAACATTACGACATTTACGGTCCTGTTAAAACATAAGCTCATGTTGCACAGAACTGTCTGCATATTTTCTTTATTTTTCTGTGACAAAATGTAACAAAAACCCAAATGGTGATTTCAGTATTTCAATTCTGGCAGCTCAAATAATTAACTGAGTATTTATCGCAGTACTTTTGAGGAACTGCTGATTATAGCTGGCAGTGAACAGCATCCACCTGTTAACATAGATGCTCTAAAGTTCCTCACGCTACTGCTGCTACTGTAGAAAGTCTTAAGTCACTGTGAGCAACCTAGGCAAGCGCGTTCACAAACTCCTCAAGCTACAGAGCTAATCCGAAAGCAGCTAAGCACTGTAGCGTAGGCGTATACCTGCAAGTTAATCAATCAGAGAAAAAAAAACACTTTTTAGAAAACAAATCCAAGCTCAGTGTTGTACATGAAAAATTGGCCCAAATCTGCCCCGAAACTCAACGTTTTGTTGGGCCACTCTACTTGATACACAACAACTCCAATTCAAATCATAATAAAATATCTCCTTTACTACTTACAAACACAAAATTCGGCACGAAGAGTTTAGAATCTGCACTTCTCAAATCTAGATATAAATCTGTTTAGATGTCTGTATTCTAATTAAACCTCGAACCTCTATTATTACTTCAAATTTAATAAAAGTACAGAATACAGAGCCAAAACAACAAACAACCGTGTTACTGTCTACGAAGGTACAGACTGCACTATCACAGCTGCTACTGGACGGCAAAATTCATATTCATAGAGTGCAAAGAATAAGCCAGAGTTCACTGCCAGAGGTCAATTGGAGTCAATTAAAGTTTGGTAAAAATTCCCAACCCCATTTTACACCATGGTCTGTCAATTCCAGTCTGCTAAATATATGCATACGATATGCAAACAACCCACAGTCATGAATTTGAATGTCCTTCAAGACATTGTCAAGATGTTAACATGTCCTTCAGACATGAACTCAAGTTAATAGTTTTTTTATTTCCACTGAAACAGCCATTAAGTACAAGCTACTCAGTTTTTAGGAGATTTTTTCAAGAAGATTAGATATGAGATAATATAATGTCTTAGAATCATTTTTATGAATGGATTACTTGAATCACAAAAGACTCGTCAACAAAGTTAGCAAGGTAGCTGTTTAGATACCTCAGTTTGGCTTCTTTTTATCTAAATGAAAGGGTAAAAACTTCCCTCCAGCGTCCTAATTGATATTAATAAAGACAGAACTGCTGTTTTCTAATTTTATTTGAATACTGTGTTAAGAGTCACCCTAAGGCCAGCTTGATCATTTTTATCAGCTTATAGATCAGTGACTAGACTAGCAGTCAATTGGTTGACACCAGAGCTGGGTTATGAGGAGCCTGGCTGCTTCTTATTTCCCCCGTTATATCAAAAACATGACTGTCCCCATTGAATGGGGTGAATGGAGCTAAACAGCTAAAAACAAAAAGTTAAAATAGTTTCTAATCACTCGCCCAGAACTTTCCTTTAATTTTAGAAAGTAGAAGGATGTATTTTCTGTACAGCAAACATGTTTTGGGCAGCAGGATGCTAACGTTACTGCTACTCAGAGCTGATTGGTTGGCGAGCGGAGCAGCACATCGGCTGTTCGCGCTCACAGACGTCATGACCGTATACGAGGCGCCATTTAAACTCATAACTCGAGTTTAAAAGCTCTTAAAAATATAACAGCAGTGTTAAAATGTTTTATGCTGCTCTGTACTCAGGAAATGAATGCCTTCTTTTATATTAAAAATGTAAAAAAGTATTTATAAACTATGATTTTGCTCAAATTCTCCATTCATTTTGGACTCGCTCGGGAGCGCCCTCTTGTGTTTGAGAAGCCCGGAAGACATTAAGGAGTGGGAATTCTCTCTACAAGTTCTCTGTTGACATCACAGGGATTCCAAATAGCTGTATGATGTAAGCGCATGATGCATGCTGGGTATTGTAGTGAGAGAACGCTGACGAATGAAAAGGATATAAAATCATGAATTCTTTCAAACCGATGAAGCTGAGAACACTAATAACACAACAACCTCCAGCTGTAGGCCGGAATGCAACCGTACTCACTAGAGCGCCGAGTCGTTGAGCTCATACTCGTATCCGCGGGCCGCCGCCAACCGCACCCCCTGATCCGCCCACAGACAGCAGAGGGCGTGGCCTATAAACGGGAACAGCACCTGCTCCTCGTCAAAGCACCTCCCACACGAGAGCACGGAGTGAGCGTGGACCTGTGGAGCACAAACACACACAAAACAACAAAACTTCATGTGAAGTCAACTCCTGTCACAATCTGCGCTGATCAGAGAGAAAAACAGCTTCGCGTCGAGAACCACACGGGCGCCGATGAAAGGACAGTGACGTCTGAAGGGAACAAACGTCCATGAGGGGGCGGAAAGATCCCTGTCGAAGCGAACTGACCTGCATCCATCTGCAAGACCGCCACCGCGACATGATAATTAGCCGCTCCAGCGCAGCTAATCGCTCTGTTAATTACAGTTCTCATTTGAATGCGTGGTTAAAACAAAACCTCAGCTCGATGACAGTGAACTGATGGAGTTTTAAAGGAGTCGTTCAGCTAAAAGTCAGTTTTACACAGTTTCCCCTCTTCTACACCAGCCAAGACACGCTTGGTGTCTCAAGTTTACCTCTTGGGTTCCTCGAATGACAAAAATGACAAGGTAAAGCTAAAGTCAGCAAAGTAGCTGGTTAAGCAGATACCTTAGTTTGGCTTTATTCAGACTTAAAGAGTAAAGGAACTCATTTCTGGACTCCATTTTGTGGACAAACAAAGACAGAATCACTGTTTTTATTCCAATTTGCTCGAATAGCAGGTTAAGAGTTACACTAATACTAGCTTGGTTGTATTTATTAGCTCACAGATTGGTGGCTAGGCTAGCAGTCAACTGGTTGGCACCACAGTGAAGTCTGAGAACATCAAACTAAGGTAGTTTTTTAAGGAACAGCTCAGATTTCCCTGCTTTTACACCAAATGTCGATCAGCCAAGATATGTTTGCTTCTTTAGTTTTAGCATTGGAGCTACGAGGCTAATAGCTATAAATCAGGGGTCTTTAATTAAAATTCAATAAGGTCCAGTTAGAGAAAATGTCCTCAAGCAAAGGTCCAGAACATCATAATGTCTAACTTACATCATGACTCAGTGCCATATACTGTTTACTGAAGTAGCCTAGTAGGTATATCAACATCTTATACAGTCAACAACTGAATATCAAATCAAATAAAGTACAATTCAGTAACATTTCAACAATGTTTATTGTCAGTTTTCTCTTTTTAGATCATGACGTGTGAAATAACTTCCCTCTGACTCAATTTCTTCTCTGACTGCTGTTTCTCGCCTCGTCCCTCCCCTGTGTGTGCGTCACTCTCTCGAGTCTCAGTGCTCAACGTAATGCACAGAGCTGATTGGCTCAGTAGCGTCATGTGTGATATTTACAACGAATGTGATTGGTCTGTGAGTGTCCGACCGCTAAAGCTACCGTAAAGGCTAGAAGAGTTACGCTAATTAAAACAGGACCACATGTCGAAATGAAATCATTCTCCATTGTTTATCAGTTACAGGTCCAGGTCTGCATAGGACAGCGTCTGGGTCCGGACTCGGAACGCGGTCCGCCTATTAGTGACCTCTGCTATAAAGTAATGGAAGCTTATAACCCACTAATCAGCATCATGCTGACTGAGTGATTCCACTTTAGCCCCTTAAATAAACTTTATTTTTTACCACTTTTAAACAGTGAATGGAGGAAAACCACTGCAATAATGTGTGAATCCATCTCAGGAATGATTTCTCATTTTTTACACGTTTCTTTGCTGGCAGTGGCTTAAAGTAACACTGGCCTCTTTTCCACTGTAGAGCCAAAACACTGGCACTTTCACACTGCTAACGACGCTAGCATTAGCTAAGCCAAGCAGGCTACGGCTTAAAACACCACAGAACAGGTTCCATTTTGACTTTCAACACTCCCAACACCCTTAACTCGACTCTGCTCTCTCAGACAAGCGTTTTTACTGACTACAGTCGTTACAGCAGAGCAGCAGTTAGTCAGAATCTAGTCTTTACCGCGGTGTGCAGCGCTGTAGCCCACTAGCTAAGCTAACCAGGAGTGTTGCAAACGAGGAGGGAGGAGTCGGCTAGCATTCGCTATCTAGCAACAAATCCAAACACAACAGAACAAGCTCAATTTCAGCTGTCGCTCCAGCAGCAGCCTCAGATTTGAGTCAGATTTGAGTGGCTAGCCACTAAGCGTCTCATGTTAAGCTGTGTCTATGTGGAAAGAACACTGGACCGGTCACTCTCCACAGTCCACAAGTCGCGGGCACAACGTAATTATCTCATTCCCACACCTCACTAAGTAATGGGTACAATGTAATTATCTCGTTCCCCCGCCTTACTAAGTCATGGGCACGACATAATTATCTTGTTCCCATGCCTCACAAAGTCATGGGCACAGCATAATTATCTTGTTTTCACACCTCCCTAAGTCATGGGCACAACGTAATTTTCTTGTTCCCACGCCTCTCTAAGTCATGAGAACAACATAATTATCTTGTTCCCACGCCTCTCTAAGTCATGAGAACAACATAATTATCTTGTTCCCACGCCTCACTAAGTCATGGGCACAACATAATTATCTCGTTCCCACACCTCACTAAGTCTTGGGCACAACATAATTATCTCGTTCCCATGCCTTGCTAAGTCATGGGCACAATGTAATTATCTCGTTCCCACGCCTTGCTAAGTCGTAATCACGACAGAAGTATCTCATGCCCACGCCTCCCTAAGTCATGGGCACAGCATAATTATCTTGTTCCCATGCCTCACTAAGTCATGGGCACAATGTAATTGTCTCATTCCCACACCTCACTAAGTCATGGGCACAACGTAATTATCTTGTTCCCACACCTTACTAAGTCATAGCTACACATTAGGACCTCATTCTCACTTGTTAATACAGTCACGCATTATTTTTATTTGTACGAGGCGTCACCAGCAGGGCTCCGAACTTTCGTTCTTTTCTACTTTATTCCTTTTTTAAATTCTTAATTTCTTATTTATTTGATTCGTTTTCATAACCTGATTTGCCTGTTTCATGTCCTTATGCTTCATTTTACTTTATTACACTTTTATTATAACAGAACTGAATGAATTATTACAGAATTTACACTTTTTAATCTCCTGTTTTTGTATAATGCTCAGCTACACTGTAAATGAGGGTCACTTAAATAAAGGCTGACTGACTGTCTTTTATGATTGTAACCTCAGCTGGACTCAAACGAGACCCTTATGCTGTTTCGGACACTGATCTATATCTGGGGTTCAGGAGGGAAATCCTGCACATCTGATATTTCTGCCGAACTATTCCTGGAATACTGTAGCCGCCTCTGGCTCTCCGATTCAAACCGAAGGTGGGGGCCGACTGCGGAATGTGACGGGAGTTCTGGGTTTTCTGTAGGAATTCTGGAAAGCTCTGGAATGCACAAACCTTCTAATATGACAAGGCTGAGTAAACAGTGCAGGGTCTACAGAGAGATCTTTCAGTGTTAGTACACTCTCAGAAATAAAGGTACTTAACTGTCACCAGGGCAGGACCCCTCGTCACTGGGGTGGAACCCTCAAGGGTACATCTCAGTACCTTTAGTCAGGGAACATAACTGAACCATAATCCACTGAAATGATATGTTCTAAGCTGTACTGACTCCACACACCCCGTCTCGTCTCCAGGCTTTTATTTTACTGTTCTGTTTTAAAACATTCAGTTATGAAAAGGTACAAATACGAACTTTTCACCTGGAAAAACTGATTTAAGGTTCACAATCAGACCTTAAAACCACTGTTGTACCTTTGAGGGAACATTTACACCAGGGGTGCACAACACACGGCCCGCGGGCCAGACACGGCCTGGCAAGACATTCTATGCGGCCCGCCAAAGAAAATACTGATACATATACAAATAAATATACCTGGCACGTCAAATTCATTAAGCAGTTTCATGAAAATGCGAAACACTGCCCCCTAGTGTTTACATTTGACTCATTCTCCCGCCCCGTAGTCATTACGCATGTTTACGTAGTAAATGCGATTCTGTATTTTGCTAAGTTATCACCAAAACTGCAGCAACAAAACCGAAACCAGCCAGCTATTAATAATAATATTAATCCAAGTTACTTCAGCAGCAGCATGTCTTTGTCAAAACCAAGAACGAGTAAAAAAAAGTTCTTCTTGAAAATAGGAAATTTAACCCAGAATGGACATCCGAGTACTTCTTTCACGAAACAAACCATGGCGTTTTCTCATGCCTGGTGTGTTTGGAATGCGTGGCCGTGGCAAAGGAATATAATTTACAGAGACGTTACGAAACAAAACACCCAAAACTCAGCGATTTACAAGGTGAGGAGAGAAAACAAAAGACTGAAGCACTAATAAAGCAACTGGTGAGCCAACAAGGCGTGTCCGAAAAGAGACGAAAGGGGTCTGATGCATGTACCATACTAGCTACAGGATTGCTAAACTCGTCGCCCCTTCGCTGACGGCGAATTTGTTAAAGACTGTATGATGGAGCTTTGTGATGTACTTTGCCCAGAAGCCAAAGATGCTTTTAAAAACATTAGTCGCTCAAGAACAACCATTCAGCGACGCGGTTTTGATATGGCCAGTAATTCATACTGCCAGTTGAAAAGCAAAATAAATGACCTCGCGTATTTTTCTGTTGCTTTGGATGAGAGCACAGACAATACCGATACAGCGCAGCTCTCAACATTCATCCGTGGTGTCACAGATGCAGCAGTAGTGCCCTTGTCTGGTAGAACAACTGGGTTTGAGATTTTCCATGCATTCAAAAAAGCAGTGGAGGACCGAAATTTACCATGGAGCAAGCTATCAGCCGTAACAACCGATGGTGCTCCCTCCATGATCGGAGAGACGAATGGCTTCATTGGACATCTGAAGAGGCACCTAGGACCAGACCTCGCAGCGCAGACTAAACACTACCACTGCATAATTCACCAAGAGGCACTGTGTGGAAAACATCTGCAATTTAAGGATATAATGGACTTTGTTGTATCTGCTGTTAATTCTATCTGTGCAAGATCACTGAACCACAGAGAATTTCAGTCTCTTCTGGAAGACTTCAGCGCAGTCTATGGGGATGTTATCTATCACACACAGGTGAGACGGCTGAGTCGTGGCAATGTTTCAAAAAGATTTTTTGCACTGCGAAATGAAATCAAGCTGTTCAGCAGAAGGTAAAGGACACTTCAGTCATGGAAAACACTGACTGGATTGCTGATCTGGCTTTTTTGACCTAACTGGACACTCAAATGATCTCAATTTGAAACTGCAGCAGAAAGACAGATTGATGTGCCACTTGTTTGAGGCTGTCTGTGCATTTGAAATGAAACTGAATCTGGGAAAAGGGAATTTGACACATTTTCCAACGTGCCAAGAGGCCTTTACTCACAGGGACTGTAACTGGAGTCGACACAGCGGTGTGCTTGAAGACATGAATCAGGCGCTCACTACAAGATTTGGGCAGTTCAGGAATGAACAGCCTGCAGTCAGACTACTTGCAGATCCATTCTCTGTAGATACCGAAACTGAACCTGGTGAATTACAACTTGAAATAACTGAACTCCAGCGCTCTGCAGCAATGAGAAGTGAGCACAGCGAGGTGATGCGCCGAGTTTTATCAAGCCCCGGACAGAGAACTGTTTCCCAATCTCTTCCCAAATTCACAGAAGTGGATCTCCATGTTTGGAAGCACTTACATATGTGAACAAATGTTTTCCTTAATGAAGCTGAATAAATCTCCCCTGCGAACTAGATTAACTTGCAACCACCTCACTGGAACCTGACATTAGTCAGGTAGTGTTAAAGAAAGGCAGCAATATCTCCCACTGACCAAGACACTACTTGTAAGTACCTGATGTTATGCAATAACAGTTTGGTCGCATTCTATAGTACAAATTATTGTGGGCAAGTCAAATATAATGTGAAAATCTGTGGCCCTCTGGTGTAGGTGACGTCAAATTGGCCCTCGGTAAAAAGAAGTTGTGCACCCCTGATTTACACTGTTTGTACCTCCATGAATGAAAAATGTACCTGCACAGAACCTTTATTCCTAACAGTGTAGGGCTGCAGGATACAGACTTAAAATGTGATGTTCAGCAACGTGGTTTGATGTTGAGATGAGACTTTCTGGCTGTCATTAAACAGAAATCCAACTTCTTCTTTAAGCAAAACAATACAATAAAAGCTCCATTCACTGCAAAGTACAACACAAAAATCATGAAATAGCTGCACATTTCATACACAGTATATAGTGTACAGTTTACACCCACAAATGTGAACACACACACACACACATACATATATATATATATATATATATATATATATATATATATATATATATATATATATATATATGTAAACATTCAAAGATTCTACTTTTCACACAGACCGTTATGCTGATAATATCGTGTAGTGAAAAGATCTGGATTAAATTAGAAAGAACTATGAAATAGAAGCATTTTCACAGTGGTCTCAGTCTTCGGACCCCACCGTACACTCTTAAAAAAGATATACATACTTTATATATATTACTTTATACTTTATAATAAATCTCTGTAAAATACTTATATATAAATATATATATATATTTACATATAAACAAAGGAGGTCTCGGACTAAAAAAGCATGAGAACTGCTCACATACACTCACAGAGAAGGACGTGGAAAGACACACACGCGCGTGTGCGAGCGACACTGTAAGACTGAGTGGCCGGCTCTCTCTGAGAGGCTGCTGCCATCTAGTGTTCCTTCACATCAACTGCAGTGAGCCGTTAGACTGACAGCAGCTCTGTTCTCCTTCCTTTCACACAAATCAGTCAGTTTTAAAGTGACAGTTCTGCAAAAACCTTCATTCACAGTTTCCTCCTCTTAACTCGAATGCAGTCAATCAGCCAGGACGCGTGGAGCTACGAGGCTAATGTAGCTAACAAGTAATACAAGCTTCATATTACACGATCGACAAAACTGCAGAGAAAATTCAGGCTTCAACGCGGCTGCTACTGTTTTTGTGTGGCGTACTTTGGATTTTTATAGATCACAGTGTGTCATACAGGGTCAGAAATCACTTAATCAAGTTTATTACTGTTTACTGAACGACTGCACACAACTGGGGTTTCCTGTTAGCTACATTGGCCTCGTAGCTCCACTGCAAAATGAAAGAAGAACAAATCAAAGACAGCGAACACGTCTTAGCAACTGACTGCGTTCGGGGAGAGGAGGGAAACTGTGCACAGCAGATTTTTTTTTTTTACTGAAGTATCACTTTATTGTGGTTTTGGGTGCCAAAAGAGTGAGAGACCCACACACACACACAGAGAGAGAGAGAGAGAGAGAGAGAGAGAGAGAGAGGAATAAAATGTGGACCTTGTTTTTGCTGTTTGCCAGGTTAATCCTCAGGATGCCCATCCCATGCAGCACAAACTTCATCGAGGTCAGCAGATTGTCCAACACGGCCGGCTGAGAACAGAGCAGGACAACAAGAGCATTATAACACATTACAGAGAGAGAGAGAGAGAGAGAGAGACAGACAGAGAGAGAGACAGACAGACAGAGAGAGCAGAGAAAGAGAGAGAGAGAAGTTTGCAGCACAAACTTCATCGAGGTCAGCAGATAGTCCAACACGGCCGGCTGAGAACAGAGCAGGACAACAAGAGCATTATAACACAGAGAGAGAGAGAGAGAGAGAGAGAGAGAGAAACAGACAGACAGAGAGAGAGACAGAGAAAGAGAGAGAGAGAGAGACAGACAGAGAGAGAGACAGACAGAGAGAGAGAGAGAGAGAGAGACAGAGAGAGAGAGAGAGAGCAGAGAGAGAGAGAGAGCAGAGAGAGAGAGACAGACAGAGAGAGAGAGACAGAGAGCAGAGAGAGCAGAGAAAGAGAGAGAGAGCAGAGAGAGAGAGACAGACAGAGAGAGAGAGACAGACAGAGAGAGAGAGAGAGAGAGAGAGAGAGAGAGAGAGAGAGAGAGAGCACATGTTTCAGTGTAACAGAGTTAAATTGTGAAAAATGAAGGTCAGTAATCTGAGCCGTTGACTCTGCAGGCCGACACTGATTTGCGGCGCTTCAATATCAGGTCACGTCGGGGACAGTGGAGAGGAGGACGGTGGAGAGGAGGACGGTCGAGAGGAGGACAGTGGAGAGGAGGACAGCCCTAATTGAAACAAACCCTCATCCCAGAGGGACACCTGAACCTCATCCGGGGGTCACCAAAACACCATCGCTCACACTTTACACTGAGTTTGCACCCTTTCACCCCTCAAAGCCCTGATTTCCTGAGAAGAACAGTTTTTCGAAAAGCAGAGGCTTTTCCCCCCACAGACTCACAGCTATGTGCACATTTTACTGGGTAGAGTTACTCAATAACTGCACTTTCTCAAGAGATGCACAGTATAAATTCAGTGCTGCTCACACGGAGCACCGAGTGAACTGATGAAGTAAGAACCTGCTTCTGTTTAAACTGAGGGGCTGAAAACTTATTTTCTTATGCAGAACTGGGCTGGTCAGCTAGCTAACAGGCTAAAAGATAGCAAACATGCTAAACAACTCCAACATTAATATCACAGGCTTGAATTAAAGCACTCATGATATGAATCACTGAAAAACGGCAGTATGAAAGTCTAAAGAATGAACCTGAATGTCTCACACACTTCAAATGTCCGTGTTTCAGTCAGAAGTAGCGTCAAACCCAGGCTGAGTCCCAAACGGCTCCGTACTCCCTAGCTAAATAGTGAGCTGTGTATAATGTTAAGTTTAGAAATTCTATCTTCTGCTGTCGAATACTGCACTGCCTGTCGAGTATGAATGTGGATGAATCCCAAATAATCATTTTTAGTGATATTTTGCATTGTTGGGCTGCAGGAGTCAGTATTTAGATTCCTACGTAGTGCACTATGTAGGGAGCAGTGAGCCATTTGAGATTCAGCCCCAGTGTGAGAAAAGTGGTGTCGTCAGACTGGCGGAAGACTCACGGTGGTAACCTGGTACAGCCCGTGTTGACTGACTGGAGAGAGATTAGATGGAGCTGAAATTAGCTTCTTGTTCTTTTTTCCCGTTTCACCTTAAATGACGTAGCCGTTATATCCTGACGCCTATTTAGTCGCTAGCACGTTATTACGGCATTATTTAAGGTGGAACGAAAATTCCAATAGGAACACAGTTCGAGTTTAAGGTGGTCAGTGCAGCTCTTTTAAAGCGGGAGTGATCTGATCTCTCTGTGTTGTTTTTGTTAGGATGCTGCCTCATTTTGTACGAGTTGTAAAAGATGTACTGTTTTCTTAGGAAGTCCAGTAAGAAGATCATTACAGTGATCAACTCTGACTGTAACAAATGCATGAACGTTTCTCTGCGTCGCTCTGAGAGAGAAAAGGCTGAACTTTAGCGACATTTCTTAAATGATAAAAAGCTAATTTAGTGACCGTGTTTACATGTGGGGTAAAGCAGAGCTCAGAGTCTAAGATCACACCCAGGTTTCGTACTTCAGGTTTGGTAGATGAAGCTAAAGAACCAAGTTTTTCAAAAATCATTTTTCTCTCAGTTTCTGTACCAAAGATCAATATTTCAGTTTTTTCATGATTTAATTGTAGAAAATTTCGCGGCATCCACTGAGAAATATTTGCTGATTAGTTTGTCTGCAGAGTCTTAATCATCAGAAGGAATGGAGATGTGTAATTATGTGTCATCAGCACAGCTGTGAAAATTTATACTATGCTTCCTAATGACCTCACCCAGAGGTAAGCATGTACAAAGAAAAAAGCAAAGGCCCTAAGACTGAACCTTGAGGGACTCCACAAGAAATGGCAAATCTTTTTGATGAATGATTTCCAAGTGAAACCATGAGCTGCCTATTACTTAAACATGATTTAAACCATTCTAAAACTGTGCCCGAGAGGCCGACCCAGCATCCAAGATGCTGGATCAAAATCTTATTAAGGTCTTGATTTATTTATATTAATTTGATTCATGCATTTATGAAAGGTGATTTATGAATTAAGTCTCTGCCTGTGCACAGTTTGCTTTTTTTCCAGTTTCTGCACTTTTAATATCATTTTTCAGTCCGAAGTTTAACTTTAAACATAGCCACTCTATTTGCAGCACTCCAGAGGTGCTAACAGGGTCCACCCCTCGCTGGGTGTCTGATCTGGTGCTGTGAGTGTTGGGGGCTCCAGCTGTTGGATCGTAATGGCTCCATATTAGGGCACATACACACACGATCATACTGAGAGTGAAAGTGAGAGAAACGGCTTGTGTTAAACAGATGCTGGTGTGCGACAGTGATAAGGCATCAATGTGACGTTGTTTCAGCTTTATTGAGCGTGAGTCTCTTTATCTCCTGTTTACCGCGTGATGGTGCTTCGCTGCGGTGAGCTGATACTGTCAGGCCTGCTGGGCATCAACTCTGCCGTCATCTTGTGCTCTGGAGGTACGAGAGGAGACTGTCAGTTCATCACACAGGCTGATTATGATGTCAGAACAAGTGTGTTCCAGTGTCACTGTTAGGTTTACACCGGACCACCACTCAAAAATATCCAGACGAGGGGTCGAGGACGGAGAACGTCAGCTGAGCGTGACAACAGATCAATAAAGCACACTAACTAGGAAAGTGCAATTCCTGAAGGAAACGCAGAGCGACTGCACAGCTTAAGCAGTTCCCAGGCTGTCGACAGGCTGCTTCCAAATGGATACTCTGGTATTTTAAGTAGCTGCTAGGTGGTTGCCAAGGTATTCCAAGTGTTTGCCAGGTTGTTGCGAGGCAGTTGCTATGGTATCCCATGTGGTTGCTACAGTGTTGATTACCAGCTGCTGTGGTATCCCAGGCGATTAAGATATCCCAGGTAGTTGCTATGGTGTTGCTAGGTGGTTGCTATGGTATCCCAGGTATTTGCAAGGTTGTTGCTAGGTGTTTGCTACGGTATTTCAGGTGCTTGCTATAGTGTTGATCACCAGCTGCTGTGGTATCCCAGGTGGTTGCTAAGATATCCCAGGTAGTTACTAGGGTGTTGCTAGGCAGGTGCTAAGATATCCCATGTAGTTGCTACAGTGTTGATAACCAGCTGCCTCTAGGTGGTTGCTAAGATATCCCAGGCGGTTGCTAGGTGGTTGCTACAGTGTTGATAACCAGCTGCTGTGGTATCCCCGGTGGTTGCTACAGTGTTGATAACCATTTGCTATGGCACCCCAGGCGGTTGCTAGAGTGCCTCTAGGTGGTAGCTAAAATATCCTATGTGGTTGCTAGGTTGTTGCTAGGCAGTTGCTATGGTATCCTAGACACGTGCTACAGTGTTGATAACCAGCTGCTGTGGTATCCCAAGTGGATGCTAGAGTGCCTCTAGATGGTTGCTAAAATATCCAGGTGGTTGCTAGGTTGTTGCGATGCAGTTGCTAAGATATCCTATGTGGTTGCTAGGCTCTTGCTAGGCGATTGCTATGGTATCCCAGGTGGTTGCTACAGTGTTGATATCCAGCTACTATGGTATCCCAAGCGGTTGCTAGAGTGCCTCTAAGTGGTTACTAGGATATCCCAAGTAGTTGCTAGGGAGTTGCCAGGTGGTTGCTATGGTATCCCAGGTGGTTGCTACAGTGTTGATAACCATCCACTACGGCATCCTAGGTGGTTGCTTGAGTGCCTGTAGGTGGTTGCTAAGATATCCCAGGTAATTTCTGGGGTGTTGTTATGTGGTTACTACAGTGCTAATAATCAGCTGCTATGGTATTACAGGTGGTTGCTAGGGTGTTTCTAGGTGGTTGCTAAGATATACCAGGTGGTATTGTTAGGTTGTAGCTATGGTATTGCAGCTGGTTGCTATAGAAACACCTACCTTTTGCTAAATTGGCCACTTTATGAGCTCCACCTACCTTACAGCTCCACTACATGATTACAGTTACACACTGTAGCTCATCTGTTGTTAGTTCTCAGCCTCCCTCTATTCCTTTCATCACTGGTCAGTTTCTGCCCACAGGTCTGCTGTTGTCCAGATGTTGTGTGGGTGTTGGTCCATTCTCAGTCCTGCAATAACACTATATACATACAGCACTGTTTTGTGTTGTTTTTTCACCACTAGGACCCAAATACCCAAAAATATCTAGACAAGAGCGGCTCTGTGGTCAGAAACTGACCGCTGATGAAGGAGGAACAACACAAACTGTGCCTTAGCAGATGAGCTACAGTCTCTAACTGTACACCAGCAAGGTGGAGCCACAACAGAGGGGTTTCTGATAAAGTGGCCAGGGAGTCCTCTATTCTGTTACAGAGTTCACTTTTTCTGTATTGAGCACAGACACATTCGGGATAGCACCAGAGAAGCCCACTCTCAGTCGCCGCCCCTCCCCAATCCCCATCCCCCTCCCCCACCCGCTGCTGTCTGGGGTCAAACAAGTCCAGACAGAAGAAAGAGACATCACGAGGAAAAGATTAACTCCAGCCTTCACTCTGACCGCTGACCTTTGACCTTTAACTCT